TATATTGATAAATCCGGAAAATGGAAAAAATAAAAAGTACGACATATAAATATATAAATATATCTATATACATGTGTATAATAGTCTATAATTTTTCATATTGTTGTACGGATTTTTAAGTTTATATTAAATGTTTTGTGCATTCATAAAAAAAGGAAGTACCAAATATTTGTGTGATTTTTTTGCCTGTCCGCTCTGATCCCTTATCATATATCCTTTATCATTGCGTACATAATATTCCGTTAATATTATGTAATACATTATTGTCTTTCAATATATCGCGCATAGATAATAAGAATTGAGACAAGTCTGAAAAGTCTTATTGCTACAATCAAAATACGTATCTTGTGGCATAATATATATTAGTTATTGCATATTTTATCAAATATTATCCTATTGCAATCTTTTAAGAACTACTTTTTTAATTTATGTTGAATTACATTACATTATATACATTAAAATTTGAAATAGATTTAATCTTATAAGCAGAAAAGAGAAATATAATTGGAATATTGTAATTGGAATGAGAATTTTATTTATCTAATAATTTTTTAATCTTAGAAACAATAACGAGAATTAAATAATACTTTCATTTTTTTATTACTATAGCTTGTACATTTGAAATACAAGTATGCAATTAGTAATAAAACTAATGTAATACATTGCCAATACAACCAGGAAGATGGATGGAAGAAACAAGGAAAATAGCAAACATATAAACATATCTGCTATGGAATTAAACGAAAGTCAAACACAATCGGAACGATGAAAGGACCATTCTTAATAAATATTGTATTACGTATAAGCAAGATATTTACGATTTTTATTTGCATACCATACATAATAATAGTTATAATTATACCCGATATATGTATAGATCTATAGATGTAGATAAAGAATTCTAAGCAGTTGTATTGCAGTATCTTCCCAAGGCAATTATTTGTCATTATTGTTGCAACCAAGTAAAAATGTTAGGAAATCGAATAATAACCATTGATGACAGATGTTTAATTATTTTTTAAATTATTTTCATTATCTCTTTGTAAAAAGATATAAAAATGTATTTATTAAATTGATATTAAGTTGAAATTGCAAAAAGATACGATGTACGTGAACAAACGTATCAAAGTCGATCTCAAATCAAAATATTTCCGGTTTGCAAATTATTCGTAATTTATTATACGTAAAATTTTATTTGTAAAAACTTTAATCACTGTCGTTATTATTGTACCAAAAAAGTTAGCTGAATGCACATCACGTAAAAATAATTAGATTATCAAATCACTTGAAATCACAGAGATTTAATCTCGTTGAAAAATTGACCATACATCTGACTGCAGCGACTAATTTAACATAACTGCACTGAGAAGCTGCTATTTCATAAAGTCACCATACATATAGTTTACTTTACTGCTTCGATATTTACACACCTCATTGGTCGCAATTACATAGTCACTGTACGAAACAAATCATTTACGATAAACTGTGACCCGTGGAAATGTCTGCATGTGTAAATAAAAGCTCTATCATCGTAACAATATACACAAGATAATCCATTTGCATCCCACTGCGTATCTTAAATATTTCAATTGTTCCTCAAAAATCAAACAATTAGGATATTTAAAATATGTGTAACTGAGATGTAATTAAAATCCTGTAAGAATAATATTGGAACTCCTATTGTTTCACTTAATCTCACGAAATTATCAAAGTAATAGTTGTAAATACGTTGAGTTTACATGTCAATTATAAAGATTCGCAAGGATAGGAATCGTATTGCAAAACGATATCGGGCAAATAAATCATAATATTAAAATTAGCGTTAAATGATATCTCAGGAACGTATCGCACAAGCATCATTACATGTGTGTGCGAAGAGAATCATGATCTGAAACCTGATCTTGATAATTATAAAATGAAAAAAACCTTTCCTCATGTCTAGAGCAACGTCTAGATGTTAACAGCAATTTTAATTCTCATGGAATTTAATATAATGTATCTTCAGAGCCCTGTTGTTGGGATATTTGACATCGCATTGCGGACAGGTAGCTCCTATCGCATCCTTCACCACGTAAGCGCTCAGATCGACCTCTCTGTGGAACATTTTACTGTCGGCCTCATACACTGCGTTATGCACGTTGGTGATATGTTTCATAATGGAGTCTTTGTTGAAGACGTGGCACTGCTTACACAGCTTGCAGCTATACATTATATTATTGTAGGCCAATTCGTAATCCCTTGATCGTTCGGGTGTTGAGAGTTGTGATAATCTGTTATTGCTCGACGAATTGCCGACTTCGGCTGTTTTCTTATGCTTGATTGTGAAATGCTGTCGCAGATTTGACAGGCCAGGAAACTCCTTAAAGCAGATATTGCATAAATAATTGCCATCGTCCGTTGGCAGCGGTATACACTCGAGCGTCAAGCTTTTCCTCGCACGGGTTTTGTGAGTCATTTGCTTGTGTATGTACAATGCGCTCATGCCAGGAAACATTTTTTTGCATAGATGACACTTGACCGGTTTCTTTTTCTCACCGGCAAAGTCCATGGAGAAAGGTGCCACCTTAATCTGCGAATTATCATTTTCTATCTCAAGTTTCGGGCGCTTTGCCTTTGTTTCGTTTTCAATTGATAATCTTCGAGTGCTATTATACAGCTGTGGTTGCGTGCGTTGTTGATTCAAATCACTATGGAACGTGAGTTTGTGTCGTTGCAGAGACTGGTTGCTCGAGAAAACTTTGCGGCAGAAGTTGCACAGGTATTGTGTAGCCATTGGTTTCCTAGCTAAGGATTGAAATTTGATCGAGGCAACAACAGTAGCTTTGTGAAGCTTCTTGTGTTTCCATAGGACCTTCTTCGAACTGTAAGACTTGCCGCATACATCGCAGGAGAACACTTTTTGTATATCGCTGAGAATAGGATTAGCTTTGTGCCATTGCATATGAGACGCCAGGGTTTCCTGATCGGGGAAAATGTTTGTGCAAAGTTCGCATTGAAGTTCATTAGTAGAATAATTCTTTTCAGGTTTGTTGCGAGCGCAATGAACGTCCCATAAATGAGTTCTTAGCTCCGTAACGTCGTTAAAGTTATCATTGCATACTTGACATTGGAAATTTCCTGGTGACTTGGTGGTTGATTGAGGCGGGGGATTGGGGAAGGATTTTCGTGCTCTCGGTGGCCGTTCTGAATTCTCACCGGACTCGATATTGCTCGATTCCTTCTGCGCGTCAGTGGACGCCTTCTGATTGCCTAAGATAAATCGAGTGCTTAAACGTGAATTGGCGCGATTGTGCCAACCTTTGTGTATCTTCAAGGAAGTTTCTTCAACGAAGACTTTGCCACAGATATCGCAGGCGTAACCGTTCTGCGATTTTTCAACGTGGACAGTACGGAAGTGATAAGAGAAGTTTGATTGGAAAACAAAACTCTTGGGGCATTGCGGGCATTGTAGCATTGTTTTTGTAGAGTTATGCTTGATCTGCATATGATGATTGTACAGGTCTTTATGCATGAACAGTCGCGAACACTCGACACAATCGTAGATTTTAATGTTTCGGTGCGCGATTTTAGCATGTCGTCGGAGATTAGCGTAATTAGATAATATCTTACCACACTTGCCACACTTGTGAACTTGTGTACCAGGATCTGAAATGGCACTGTCGTTCATTGATTCTTCTTCGATTCTCATGTCTTTATCCAAGTTGCCATATTCCACGCAGGAGATATTAGCATTTCGCTCGTTCGGGTCCTCGATACCGTGATCCTTCATGTGAATTTCTAAGGCGCCAGCACTACTGAACATGCTACGGCAAATGGCGCATGAGTATATCTTTACTTTGAGGTGAAGACTTTGATGTTCATTTAGTTCGACTCTCGTGGAAAAAACTTGAGTACAGAGTGGGCAGCTGTACTTCTGATTATTACTGATTTTTGATTTAGCTATTTCCTTTGTAAGCGTTCCGTTCTTTCAGTGGAATTTGAACCATGTCTTGCGATGTGTCATGATGCTGCATTTGCTGATTATCTTGCATCATTTCTCGATGGGTCTCGTGATGGGTTAAGAAATCGCTAGGCGATCGGAATTCGGAATAGCATACAGCGCAGGTGAAATCCTTCTTTTTGTGATCAGCTGTAATGTGACAATGAAACTTCTTAAACACGAGGAACGTCATGTAACAATACACGCACTTGTATAACGTTCTGTTTTCCGGCTTCAGTCGCATACACATCTCTTTGTGTTTGAGCATATTAGGTCGGTACCGGTAAATCATGCCGCACAGATCGCAAGCATGATTGTGCGCCGGATCGCCGTTTTTATAAGGTCCATTGGTCTTATCACTCATACCACTATTTCTGGATGGCACCATCGGCGGTACCATTGGTTTCAATTTGGGCGGAGCTCTGGGCGCTGGCGACATCATTTCTTCGTACTGCTTGTCGGAATGTTTCGACAAATGTTTCAGTAGCTCCTTCCTATCTTGCATCGAGCGCAGACACATATTGCATGTAAAGTACCGTTCGTCGCCATGCTTCGGTATAACCAAAGCAATCTTCATAGCACATTCGAAGGATGCGCTACAATGTAGCTGATACATTGATCGATCTGAAAATTCTGTTAGGCAGGCGATACATGTGTATGGTCTCAAGTCCGGTAGATGTTGACGTATATGTGCGAGCGTGCTACGCCGATCGTTAAAGGTTTGTTCACAAGAATAGCAAGAGAAAGTTTTCAGCTGGCTAATAATATCTTGTTGAACTTGCGTCAATGGCGAATCCTTCTCCATACTAACCAGTTCATCTTCCAAATCCTCGATCATCTCCTCGTCGTCGTTTTGTGTCTCCAAATTTTCAGTGCCATTTTCCTTACTGTGAAACCTCTTCATATGTTTTATGTATGTATATTTGGAGTGCAGGAATATTTGGCAGTGTGTACACTTTTGTTTAAAGACGCGCGTGCCTCGGAAATGTGTATGAGGACCGCGTCGCAGTTTCTTTTTGGGTGGTGCAGCAACCGTGTTAGACTTTTGCGTGGAATCGGCCTCCATAACTGTATCCTCCGTCTCGTTGACTGCCATAGGATTCAATAGCAATTCGTTGCTATTCGTAGATTCTAGTTCTATTGTACAATCGGTATCATCATCATCCTGTGGTTCTCTTTTAATGGAACGTAATATTACAACATTCTGTTGGTCCGTTTGACCTTCCTTGACAGCCTCCATCGAAATTTCCACCGGAGTTTTCACCGGAGTTTCCATCGGAGTTTCCAATTCTGGAATCGGTTCAGACTCTTTACTTGTATCTGTTGCATTGTTATCTGTTACTTCTTTCACTTTCTCATTGGATTCCTCATTTTCCACTGTTTGAATTGATGATTGCTGGAGAATCAAATAATATTTATATAGAAAATCTTTTCTTTTCATCATAATTAAAAGCTTTATCATATAAAAATATTATACTTACTGATTGTTCCAAATCATTGGTCTCTGAAATAATCTCAACCTTATCTTCATAATCAAAATCCATTGGTTCATCCTTGATCGTTATGACCTACAGATATTGGAAACATGTAAAAATAATAACAAAATGACAAACTATTATATTCTAATATTTCAAAACAACTTACCATAGGATTTGATTGTGATTGACTTGCTAGCCATTCTTGTAGTTTATCCTGAGAGCGCAGACATGACTCCTTATAAATATGCCACTGGTTAACACTTTTTATACAATTGTCACATATCAATGTAGATATTTTATCGGATGTTGAAATCTAAAAAATTAAGAACATTAAGTATTAGATAATAACTTTAGAGAAGAACTTTACTAAATGAAATAGATAAAACTATAAATCTAGCCATATATTCTACGATCTTTTTGCTTTGTTTTTGCTTTCTCTCAAAATTTTATATATTTTATATTTTTCCATTTTTAAATGTACAAAGTATAAAATACACTCAGAAAAGAATAATTTATATCTAACTTGAGTAATTTCAATAAAAATATTGAAATTAATATTTAAATTAATTTTTTCAGTTGATAGTTTATGATAATCCGCATCTGTTAATATTATGTTTTAATGTCACAATGGCTCTCTTAAATCTTTCTTAAAATATTTATATTTATATATTATGGGTAGAATTGGATAGAGTGCAAGTTCTCGAAGAAATAATAACCTAATCTCGATTCCGAACCAGTCCTTTAGTTCTCCTATAATTATAACCTCGAAACGTCGGTGAAACCTTATCACCTGATTCCGGGATCAATGAATGGTTCTCGCGATTGATTCTTAAGCGGGAAGAACGCAAATCGCGAGAACGCACGTATACGTACTTGGATTGACAGGCAGGCTTGAATTTTAGCGACCAGTGATATGCCGGACGAGTCTTCCTTCTCCTCGCCCTGCGCCGCAAACACCGACGATCTGGGCCCATCCGTGGAGAGACATAGTCTACACACGCTCTCCACGTTTCCGATCTCCACCACGTCCTCGTCCATCGTGAACTACGCTATTCGGCACTAGGACGACACTACCACCGCCAGGACGCTGTCGCCGATGCTCGCCGACGCCACGTATGTACCTCCTCGAAGACCCTCTCAGGTTAAAGACGCAGCGTTTTGTTTGCGGCCAACGGAAGATTGGTTGGAACGTTGGAAGTTGGTGCCGAAGCTCCGAAGTCGGAAGGCGCAAGACCCGTTTCCGTGCGTCCAGCTTATTGATGACGCGTTAAGATGGCGCGACCAGATACTTGCAACGACAAATTAGTTCAACTCGGAGACTTACGTTCACACTCACAGTTCGGAGAGCATTAGAAACGTTTGAACGTGTCGCATGATGTCTCCATGGTATGTATGTACATACATGGCTATAGAAGTGACGAACCCATGGATCTGAGTTCTCGATGCCTTCGATGCGACATATATTTAATATGTCGATGTTGTATGTATGTATGTATGTATTATACGACTAACTTAATTGGTATGTTTCTAACCTACCTATCATATCTGATTTTAATGTTGACTCTGATTTTATTTTTTATGTCAAACAAGATAAATTAATATTAATATCCATGTTAATCAAAATTTGATCGAAATCAAGGATTTAAGAACTACACAATAATTGACATAGATAGGAGAAAATGGCGAAAGCCTATTTTCTGTACTTATTGAATAAAAAAAGGTATTCGGCGCCATAAATCAATCAAACGGTTTAGTTTTTGTTCTTCGACTTTATATCGAAAAAATTTTGCTTATAAGAAAGATCGAGATAGGATTATTAAATATTATATCATATGTTTGGTCAGCTTTTATTTCATATACACCTTCTGATATACATTTCAGCTTTTATTTCATATACACTTCTGATATACATTTGATACACGAAATTGTCATTTGTACACTGCAGGTAAGACAGATTGCATGTCATATACATCAGGATGTAACATATGCGATATATTTCTTTGATCCTCTGCCTAAACCGACTCTAGATTCTTCTGGATTTCCATTTGCTAAAATTAATGTTCGTTTGCACGCATAGGCGTGACACTACCGTTAATTTTATCGCAAAGTGAAGGCTTAGAAAAATCGAGAGAGCGGTTAGACGGTTCTTCGCAATAACGTTAATAGAGCTTTATTAAATAGTGTTAAGCTTATTGACTCTTCAACAGGCAGCGGTTCTCAACTTCTCTTAGAATTCTGACACGATAACGATCGATAAATTTCCTTAATTTCTCCATTACATTTTGGATAATCATTTTTCCTCGATCAAGACACATTAGTGTCTTCTTCTAATATTACATGAATATCAGTTTATCGATTATAAAACATGCCCATGCACTTGATAACAATCACGAAACACACGCCAAAAATTTCTATGGAACATCTGGAATCGCTAACGCACAGCAGTCATAAGATGATCCGGGGCATCTAGTGCTCGATGAAATAGTATTTTTTTGGCGTAAGTATCATCTATTCTAAAAAAAGATTTCACAACTCGATGATGACGATAACGGTAATTTTGAACTCGTTAAATATGATCACGCCCCATTCCCGTTTGCTTTACTTTCGTCTTTCAGAGCTAGAGATTTATTCATATAGAAATCTGTGACACTTTGTCCTCGACTACGAAGAAGAAGAAAGAAAGAAAAAAAAAAAAGAAAGAAAGGAAGAGGGAAACTTGAACGTTTGCGCATCGCTCTATTTGAAAGCAGTTGCGAATTGTTTT